TGCAGCACAGGGTCCTTCCAGATAATTTAATAGAATATTTTACTTACAGTTGATAGAATGCGGATGACAGCAATATACAAGGCAGTCACCTGCTAATATCAAACGGGTTTTTAAATTGTTTCATCATGACTTCAAACTGGGGAAAGTTCTTACCAATACTTCGAGTGTTATTGTGAAATGCTGTTTGGCCAGGTGGCTAACAAAAAGTGAGTTTGCTTGGTCTATACAATCTGCTATCATGGTACGAACTTTATTACAAAAAAAAAAGAAACAAAGAAATTTTATTAAAATAAAACAAATGATCGAATTTCACCAGTTGAATACAAATTAATACGCAGATAATAATATAATTTTTAGTTTTTCTTTATCGTCCTTGTGGTTAGGTCGACCTGTAACTTGGAGCTTTATTTGATTAATTTCTTTTTTCTGGTAACTGCCCAGTCCTGATTCCTTCTGTTCTACAGTTGTTCTATCCTCCCAAATTTTGTCTATATATGTAGCGTATTTTTCAGTTTCTTCATTTTCAGCATTATCATAATTAAGTGATTGCTTTGTATTTTAGCATCAAAATTCTGTAGTCCAGTGTTTTTCAACTGTTTTCTTAAAATCTTTTGTATTTGTCTGTCTTCTCTTGAGAGGTTGTTAGAGATGACAATCCCTGTTCCTTTGAAGTTTTCTGCAACCTTGAAGATGTCACTCTTTCTAAGAGGAGATAAATTCTATAATAACAGGTGGTATAGCTTTTATACTGCTAGTGTAAATATTATTAATTTCCCCTTTGCTAATATTGATTTTTAAATTTGCTTTTAATTTGTATTGTGTTTCAGTCAAAATATTAATATTAAAAATATTGCCAGTTTAGAAGTATTTTTACGTTGGATTCCAGATCGACCTGCGCCACCTGAAGCAGGTCGAAGACTCGAACAACATCGAGGTGGGCATCGACCTCCAGGACTACTACATATCAGTCGAGTGGGATATCATGAAGGTGCCCGCCGTCCGCAACGAGAAGTACTACAGCTGCTGCGAGGAGCCGTACCCCGACATCATCTTCAACATCACGCTGCGGCGCAAGACCCTCTTCTACACCGTCAACCTCATCATCCCGTGCGTCGGCATTTCGTTCCTCTCGATCCTCGTCTTTTACCTGCCCTCGGACTCCGGCGAGAAAGTCTCGCTCAGCATCTCGATCCTGCTCTCGCTCACCGTGTTCTTCCTGCTGCTGGTCGAGATCATCCCGCCCACTTCGATAACGGTCCCGTTGCTCGGCAAATACCTCCTGTTTACCATGCTGCTGTGCACTCTCTCGGTCGTGGTGACGATCGCGGTACTGAACGTCAACTTTCGGTCGCCGGTCACGCACAAACTCGCCCCGTGGGTGAGGACGGTGTTTATCGAGACGTTGCCGCCTTTCCTTTTCATCAAGCGGCCTCGCAAGGACTGCGACGACGAGAAGGGCGTGGACAGCATGCTCACCGACATCATCCAGATCCCGATGGACAAGTGCAAGGCGTACGAGAAGACGTCTTTCGACAGTTTCGACCTGGGTCTGCCTCCCCCGCGGTTCGAGATGCCGCCGCCCGGCACTTTGGGCTCGTGTTTCGGTGAGCCGCCGTTTCCGCCGCCTCTGGCCGGCGGCGACGAGGAGCTGTACAGTCCGGCCAGTTGCCGGACGAACGCGTTCGACGCCCCGAGCGACGCGAGCCCCGCGTTCGACAAGATCGACGGCCACGACATGGAAAAGACGATCGCCGACTCCAAGTTTATAGCACAACACGTGCGCAACAAGGATTCGTTCGAGAACGTGAGCGCATTATCTCTCAGACTAGACGAACCAGTAGTTAGAAGAAGGAAATGAATCCTGAAAGCGAACTTTAGGGAAATCGAAGAAAACTGACTAACTTTTTTATTCAAATTCGTCTTTTAAAATAATAATATACACTTTAGTGTTTTTTCACACTGAGAACTCATAAAAACACGTTTGTTCCTTCTTCGAACTTACCAGTTTTTTGAGAAGCTTAATGCAAAATAAAATGCAACAACTGTGGAAACTAGTCATTTATTGAAAATGTTCTCTCAACCCTCGAACAATGAATAAGGTCTGACATTAACACTCACTCTTGGTCTTCTGCATGGATTTCAGATGAAATAGTCGGCCATGTCAGTATACTCTCATAGAAATCTTTTTTATCGTCTGGGATATGATTTTCCGGATGTCTTCCCTCTTTTGATTTATTGGTGTTTTTTACTGGCTGGTTTTATTTTTCTGGAGCAAAACTCTGTGTTTAATCAATCCATGAATGTAAATAGTCCTTATAAGAAAAATCTTCTAGGTATCTAGATTTTGATATTGACTGGGCTTTTATTTACCGATTTATTAGTTTTATTCTAGTAGATTGGCCAGGCAGTGCAAGTCATTAAGTTATACTCTTCAGTTACGTGGATTCTGTCTTTCTTCAGGGAAGTGCTTATCGAATCTTCCCGACGAAATCGACACGATCAAGAGCCTCATCAGAGTATGATTCCTGTCCTGACCCCCTGAAGCGTCACTAAAAACATGGGGCCCCTTTATAGCGGGACCCATTTTTTAGATGGTCTTTCAGAGTAAACTGCAAACCTCGTCGGACCCTCGCTCATCCCAAAAAATGTACAGTTTTCTTAATGAATGAGCTCAGTTCAGTTCATCTATATAAATAACAATTTTGGTATAATGTCATTTACTCATATTTTGGCGTTTATTTCCTTCTTCGTTAAATAAATGATAGACTCCGCTACCCATTCATAAAACCCTTCAAAATTTTGTTCTGACAACTACTTAAGTGGGAACTAATATTATCAAAGGGAGTAACTAGACTGGGAAGAACTTGATTGATTGATGGTCGCTCAATGTACCATATACAAACTAAGTGAACAACCACAATGCAGCTCCGACCATAGTATAGTATCGCACCATAGCTTCGCTCACCAAAAAAAATTAATACACAATAGGTGAGGCTAAGGTCTTTGCCGAGCTTAGAACTTGTTTTGGCCCTCAACATCGATGTATTTTTTACTTTTTTTTTTCTACATTTAAGAAAATGTGCTCCTATTGTCATTGTCATTTAGTCAATAAACAGTCAATTTTACACTATAAATAATTCACTCGGGTTTTAGGAAACGAACTATAGTTCAAGTCACACTGAGGATATATACAGTGTGGAGCCTTATGTAGCTTACCGTTGCCAACCGCAGCATCAGGTCCGTCAGAACAGGCGCCAGAATTGACGCTAATAATAAATTTAACCACCTTGTCTTGGAGATTACTAAATTTCCTTTTCGGTTTCATCATTGTTCATTGCCACATATTGCCTTACTTGATTCTATACCATCCCGATAGGGTCAAGCTCGCAGTGATACGATGGTAAACGTAAAACATGTATCCAGTGTGTTTATTCAATTTTCTATTTGTCATACTTGGACTTTTTGTTTATTTTAACCTGACACTGGGACGCTCGCCGATTACTATGCGATGAGAAAGATTATGCATTTCCTCTAAATCGGCAGTGTTCTAAAGAAAACAAGCAAACAAGGTTTCATACCACCTATAAGTTACACTGTATGACAACTAAAAGCGAAAACTCTAAAATTGCCAACATTTTAAAGCAAAAAAATAATTGTTTTTTTTTAACCAAATTACAACAAATAAATCTTTACTCGGCCAGAAAGCGTCAGATGAGCCCAAGCTGAAACTTTACATAGCCAGAGGGCATCAAATGAGTCCAACATAAAATAATATCAAATATTTACCTTACTTTCATTATCAAACGATGAGTCAAACATATTAGCATCTTCCTGATTCCATTCCTTGCGAGAAATTCGCTGCTACTAAAGTCAACTTGGTTAAATTCACCCTATGAGCTGGTGATCGCTTAATTTCTTTCTTTTGTTTTTTGTTTCTGCACATTATCCTTAGATTAAAATTTAAAAAATTATCCCAAGATTATATCTCGCAATGTCAATACGTGTGTGTTTGTTTTCAAATAAAAAATTACAAGAAATTAAGCTACGCATTTAGAGTTGTGACATTAAACGACTCAACACGGGACATATCTTCATATATCAACATTTTGTATGTGGGTACTACTTGTTAGCACTCCAATTCGGAATAATACCTTCCTCACCTGAAGAAAACGATTTCCATTTTTATGGGACGCATTCTCGCTTTTACTGATGCAAAATTGCAAACAAGTGGAGGTTGGAGAAATTAGAGCTCAGTTTTTTGCACACAAGGACTAAAACGACCGTCATATTTTGTCGCAGGTCGAGGAAGATTGGAAGTACGTCGCGATGGTGTTGGACAGACTGTTCCTCTGGATATTCACGCTGGCGTGCGTCGTGGGCACTGGCGTGATAATATTTAACGCGCCGTCTCTGTACGACACCACGAAGCCGATCGACGTCGTCATATCGAAGGTCGCGAAGAAGAGGATGGCCCTGCTCCAGATGGTCCCTGAAGAGCTATGAGCCGGGACACGACAACCCGGTCGTTACGTTGCGGATTCAAACTGTCAATTTTTCCTCAGTCCCTCCCTGCTCTTTTGGAGGGAGATTCGCGCCCAAAAACTCGCAATCAACATCCCAGGGGCGGATTTGTTGGTATTCGCGAGCATTCCAAAGACTTACGATGATAATCACTAACATAGAAATTGTTATGTACGTTTAAGATGATAATTGTAACGTTGGTTATATATTTCGGAAGTTTCGTTTATATAAGTGCGCCGTATTGTAGGGAATAGGCGGGATACGTAACAATAAAATTTTTTTCAATACGGCTATGGCGTTTCCATTGATGTGATCTCGCGATCGTACGGCCCTCTTACGACAAGCGCCGCAAAATATGCCATGAAATCAACCGATCGGCAATTCTGAAGCAAGCCGGTCGCCGACAGATGCCGCGACTAGAAGAACTTCATGACAAAACGAGGACGGCGCAGGCGCGTGGTATTTTGCCCTTTCTCGATTTTTTGATTTCGGCCGCTGTGTTCACCGCTTCTGCGCTGGCGCGTTCGCTTTTCTGCCCGTCCCGGATCGAAATTTTCTCCAACTGCACATTCCGTTCGTCCGTCAGTCACCTTTTACCGACTCTGTTTCGTGGGTAAGTCGGTCAGTTTGTGTGAGCGAAATCAAATCCGCAATTTTCTTGAGAAATTAAAGCCATCGTGCTGAAATTAGTGTCGAATCGCGTCCCCCGATCGTAAATTAACCCGACTTGGTATACAGTTTTTACGATTTCATTTACGTAACACCCTCCGAAAATTTGAAAGCTCTGTTTCCGGCGGAGACCGCCATGATTGATTCGTGTTTCTAATTAAAAGCCGGGATATTTTTGCGGTGGCTTCTTTGTTTAGTTTTAAAGAATTAAGTTGTACTGCAAGGTGTTTTGTGCTCGATTAAAATTGCATGGGGACATTTCCGCACTATTTTCATCACATTTTCGTTACGTAATTGTCGAAATATCAACCTTTAGTTCGTCCTTTGCACGCAAGTAGATTTTTTGACAGTCGTTGAGATTCTTGCATTCGAGAAGGAACCAGTGTCAAGTGTTTCCGTTTTCTAGGCTGTTGGCTGTTGTAACAAGAAGGAAAAATTGAAAAAATGTTTGCGTGTGCCAGACTGATCGCCCCAGCTGCCCGAAGCGCCGTAAGTAATTATTCCGCGACTTCTATCATATCGTTACATAATGCGAATTTTCCTATTACACTCGCTTGGGAAAATCGAACGATAAAGCCAATCTAACCTCGATTTGCTTATCGTTATGTAATCCAAATTGCTGGGGTTGGGTTGGACAATTTTGTTTTTAAGAAGTTTAGAGGGTTAAGAAAGGCATGTGGGTTTCATTTGATCTATCACTTGAGGAGTGCTGGTTAGCGTATCACTTTAAGAGTTTTAATTTTTTACAGTATATAAAACACATCCGTGTTACATAACTTCTAAAAAACATTTCATTTGAACAGCTTGCAAATGCACCCAAACAATACTTGAGGCCCCTAAGTGGTGCTGTCAACCAAAGTCAGTCCCTAGTCCAGTCGGTGCAGCAGCAGAGGCAACCCACATTGCTCCCAGCGGTTCGCGGTTTCCAGACCAGTCCCATATCCAGAGATATCGACTCTGCTGCTAAATTTATCGGTGCCGGCGCCGCCACAGTTGGAGTAGCAGGATCGGGTGAGTTTTTGGCGATTGTGGCTCGTGCACATACATTCCTGGGGACATTTAAAATTCGATTGGCAATCGTTTAACCCGGCACTAACATCGGTTTTAGGTGTAGGAATTGGCATGGTGTTTGGCGCGTTAATAATTGGATATGCTCGGAACCCTAGCTTGAAACAACAACTATTTTCGTATGCCATCTTGGGCTTTGCTTTGTCAGAAGCGATGGGACTCTTTTGTTTAATGATTGCTTTCTTACTGTTGTTTGCGCTTTAGGTTTAAGTCCAAATCCTTTGTGTGTGTCTGTAAATAAAATTGATTCCTAACCTCACTTATTTTTTGCATTTTTATTTTGTTGGGGTTGTTTGCTATGCATTTGCAGGGTGTTTGTAAGGTAAGTTTTAACCCATTAATTGAACTGTCACTCTCCATATTAAAGATCATATCATTAAAGTGCTTTTGGAAATGTGAGACAAAGTTTCTAAATATTCATTTTCAGCTTCTTTGGTTGGAGAGGTTTTCTGTTATGAACAAAGGTAGTACTTTGTAATCGCAAATAAATATAAAATATTCGTTGCATTCCTTCTATGTCGGTTATTGACATTTGCTGAAGTAACCAACAGTATGATTGATGACACAGCAGCAAATTCAATTCAACAAGAACCAGCGCAGAAGGAAACCAAAAATTTGTAAATAGTATTACAGTAGCCTATGGAAGTTTGAAAAATTAACAATTCCATTTTGTCCATCACAGATCATAATAGAGTTTTGTAAGTCATATTTTGTAGTCGCTTGTCTTCTATGAGTAGGTAATTATTAATAATTAAGTCAAGTATTAGGTGACAGTTGGCTTTTTTATTCCATTCTATTGATAATGAAATATGTACACTTCAAATACTAAAACATAAAATAACCAAATTTACATTATGTTACGAACCTATGTATGGGTGGGTTAAATTACAATTTTTTTTTGTAGCACTGCTTAGTTTGTTCAATGGTGACAATGCCGAGTTTGTTTGTTTGGAATTTTTTAAATAGATCCTTTGATTTTGTCATTACTGCACTTGATAACTACCACTTTTTCATTCTGACAATTGTTAAAGGTATATGTTTTTTCTTTTTCATGTAGGAGCTGGAATCGGAACCGTATTCGGTTCCCTGATTATTGGTTACGCGAGGAACCCCAGTTTAAAACAGCAACTCTTCTCGTACGCCATCTTGGGCTTCGCGTTGTCTGAAGCCATGGGTCTGTTCTGTCTTATGATGGCCTTCTTGTTATTATTCGCCTTCTAAGAATGGCGTGCAATTAAAATATTCACCGTCATTTCCATGATGTTGGGTTACATTGCCATCATGTAACTTGTACTTGTTTTTTTTAAGTGTTAATCGAAATTATCTGCAATAGAACTTTTTGTATTTAGCGGGGCTCTGGACAAATGCGGGGACATTTGCGAGACTTTGGGCTTACTTTTTATCATCTGTTACATCTGTATTCGCAGCTTCTTCGTCCATTTGTCCTGAATACCGGCCAAATTTATTTAAAATGCGAGGTGACACAGTAATGCATATTGTACAGCGATTAGAAACATTATGAAATAAAATCGGTTAGTTACGACCTTTTTCATGTTATGTTTTTTTTTCTACCCCTTTCCCTTTCCAGTTTATAAACTTTGCCTTCGATGATAAGTTCGGCGATTCCGCGCATGTGGCGCTTTCGCGAAAAATTTAAATGGTTTATTCCTGTGGATATTTTTATTTAAGCTATTTGAATCCTATCGCTTTCACAATTAAATTAAAAAGAATGTGAAGCGTGAAGAAATCCCTACGGGTCAATGACGGTGATTCTGCAATTGCCAAGGTAATTTTTTTTTTTATCTGGATATTAGCCATTTCGATGGGCTTTGTGAAAGTTTTGCATTTTCGATTAGCAACTTTGGACATACTAAATGCGGATGATTTATTATTACTCTTGATATTTTAGAGCCAAACAATACCAATTTCGTGAGATCAAAGCCGCCTAGGTATTTTATACATTTTATGGCTGTTTAGCTTGTATAACTGTTATTGTTTTAAATATTTCCGAACTTATTGTTTTTCAAACGTGGTTTATAGTGGTTATATCTCATGTTAAGATATTTTAATGTGCTTTCTTTGTGCTGATCACAAACTTAATCTAAATACTTTGAAAATTACTTTTGACTTGACAGAATTAATTTATTTTTAGTAAAAACACGAAATTTTCTATAATAAACACGCTTCTACTGAAATGAAAATTACATGTAAAAAAATGGAACATTAATAGATTATAGCAAAAAAAAAATCAAAAATATTTAATTGGTCTCAAGGTGTGAATCAGGGACACCAGAAATAAAATATGTAAATAATAAAGAACTAATATTTATTTAAAAAATAAAAGGTAAAAAAAAACATCTCTTTCTAAGCTGCAATAATATGTTATTTTGTGCCTGATTAAATCTATACACTTTCGTAGAAAAATTATAGCTATATAAGATCATTCAACTGCACTTTACACTGTTCGCCGCCATCACGCTCTTAGCAGCAAATAAATAAGATTAACACAAACATAACTGGGATGTTAAGTCACCAAAAAATCACCTGGAAAATTTTTCTAATAAAACTAAAATGTTTTCCTATGAATCGCGCGTTGACCCTCCTCATCGAACTCTCGCTTCGACACCCACATCTTTTTAAATGTGTCGAGCGATGCGAGAATCGATCCTCCGATCCATGTCGAGTACAGTCGTTCTTGTGGGGCCGAGATCTGGAAGCAACATCAATTTCATAAAGAATGAAACAAAACGACATAACCTCACTTTAATTTGGATCTCTTTGGGGCACATTTTTTTAATTTCCGACAACAGTCGGTCGCCAAAGCCCCGGAATAAAGTCGAACCGCCTGACAAAACGATGTTTTTGAACAACACCTTTCGCAGGTCCAAGTCAGACTTTTGAATAGAATACATGAGCACCTCATGCAGTCCCTCACATTCCTCACCTGAAAATAATAATTATACCTGCGTGATAATAACTTAAAAGAATTACCACTTGTAATTTTTTGCCATTAACTAAACTTCAGACAAATCTTACCAATTAAATCCGGCTTAAACAATATCTCGGGCGCCCGAAAACGGGCGGGCCCCACTTTGATTATGCTACCGTCTGGCAATGTATAGTTGATTTGTTCTGTGTCAACAGACTCCTCTTTGGCGGGGTTACTAGAGAGATAACAGGCCTTCTCCTTGAGGGTCCGTACTGACTCGAATTCGGCTGTTGTCCGGAAAATGATTCCCTCTTTCCGAAGCAACAGTCGGAGATAGCGGGAAACATCCCGACCCGCTATGTCAGATCGCATTATGCTATGGGGCAGCGCGAATCCTTCGTAAATGGGTACAGAGTGTGTGACGCCGTCACCCGAGTCGAGCACTACACCGGTCGTCCGACCCGTAGAATATCTAATTCAAACCATTTAAGACAAATGAAATATCAATCGTAGTTTACTCACAAACTAAGTACAGCTTGCATGGAAATGAAGAGGGCGGGGACGTTGAACGTTTCAAACATAATTTCGGCCGCTTTCTCCCTGTTAGGCCTCGGGTTTAGGGGAGCTTCTGTCAACAAAACTGGATGCTCTTCAGAAAATGTGTTTAGCTGGTCTTTGCTGTAGATGTAGCTCCAGATTTTCTCCATATCATTCCAATCCGTTACTATGCCGTGCTCCATCGGGTACTTTATCGACAACAAACCTCTGTGCTCCTCCGCTTTTGGCCCTATAAAAATATCGCCCTCGAGTGCCCCCGCCATTACCCGGACGTGTTTCGGTCGACCCACACTAGAACGACACGCAATTTAGAGTTTAAATTAGGCTTTTTTTAGTCACCCACTAGTTGGGAAATCTGCATTTGGGGATTTGGTCGCCCGCGAAACCAGCCTTGATCACGCCGGTCCCCTGAAATACCAGATATGGTTACACGTAGCCAATTTTCACCGCGTTAGAATTTTTTACGTTGTCTATCACTACGGGTTGGTTGACAATAACTTCGTAAGCTTCCATTTCACATAAAAAAAACACGCCTATTCTACACACTACTCTGCGGTTTTCGCATTTGACAAGCTGTCGAATGGACTGACTCACGGTCTTCTTCGTTTTCGATTAGCGGGTCACATGCGGGTTATTTTTGTGTGGTGGTTAAGTGATTTCAGTGTTATTGTTTTATTATTTTCATTTCGGCGAAATCTAGCGTACACGGCAACGACCAGTTTCACGGTTCTCACAAGGGATGGCGCCACTACCGAAGTCGTCGACCGGTCAGTTGCTAGATGGCGACACGTTGACCGTTTTTATTGCGTCGTAAAAATCGTCTTTAACCAGTGTTTACGATCGCGTGCGTATAAAAGCGGTTAGTTGCTCAAAGATGCAGTCAATCGTTCCGAAAAACTTCGTACAGCGTACACAGCAGCGTGTACCGTTCGGTCGAAATTCGTACGTGGCAGAAATGTAAATTTGTGTTTTCGCCTGTGTCCTAGTGTAGTCTGCCGTAGCATGTGGGTAACTCGTATTTAGAAGAAAAAAAAGTCATGTGTTCTTTGATCGGTGGTATCGAAGGGGGCGCGACCCACTCGCACGCCGTAATTTTGAGCGCCGCCGGCGAATTGGTTTCGGTCGCCCAAGGCCCGACCACCAACTACCATTTGATTGGAATGACGGAATGCCGGAAAAGGATAGCCGACCTGATAACCGAGGCTAAGCGGAACGCGGGTAATTGACGCTTGTTTGTAAACTTTGGAGGCATTGTTTGAGAGGTTTTGGTGGTAGGCATCGCGCCGGACGTGCCGCTAGAAGCGCTCGGCCTGGGCCTGAGCGGCTGCGAGCTCGAAGAGAGCAACGTCGAGTTGCAAAAGGGGTTGGAACGCAACTACCCGCTCCTGTCGAGACGGTACGCGATCGGGAGCGACACCGAAGGCTCGCTGGCGGCCGTCTCGAATCGCGGCGGCGTTACTTGCATCGCGGGCACCGGCTCCAACACCCTGCTGATCAACCCCGACGGCGGCAAATTCCAGTGTCGCGGCTGGGGCCACATGCTCGGAGACGAGGGCAGCGCTTGGCACATATCATGGCGCGCCATCAAGTACTGCTTCGACGACCTGGATCGGTTCGAGGACGCCCCCCACCCGATCGACGCGGTCTGGAACCTGGTGCGCGATCATTTCCGCATAAAAACGCAACGCGACATTCTCGACTCCTTCTACAAGAACTTCGACAAGGCGTTCGTTGCGTCGCTGTGCAAGCGTCTCGCGGATGTCGCGAGGGGCGGCGACCCCCTCGCCGCCGCCGTATTCCGCGAGGCGGGACGACATTTGGCGAAGAGTGTGGCGTCCGTGGCGGCCCGGGCCGCCCCCGAGCTCACGTCACGAGAGGGCGGTCTGCACGTTTTGTGCGTCGGCTCCGTGTGGCTCAGCTGGGACCTTCTGCGTGACGGTTTTGTCGACTGCTTGCGGAGCGAGGGGCGGCCCCCCGCGGGCCCGCTTTCGCTCCTGCGGCTCACCACCGAGATGGGGATCGGATCCGCACTGATGGCCGCCGACAGGCTGGGACTCCGGCTCGACCGCGACTACACCAAGAATTTCCACGTGTTTTATGTTTACAATGATGAAGCAAATTAAAGGTTATTTTTTTATCCTGGTTTCTCTCTTGTCCATTTCGTGGGTACCTTAATTGAAAGAAATCGGTCAAACTTCTACTTACACTGCTTTTCGCGTTAAATTGGCCACCTCTGGGGTTCCTCAAGGTTGCCATTTAGGGCTGTTTTTTGTTGTTTACATTGAACATGTTAGTGGTTTCCAGCATAGCAAATTGATTTGTATAAATCTTGAAAACTGTTGGGTTACATCTTTCACCAGAAGCAATGATCCAAGATTTAAGCACGTAGTCAAGCTCTTAATGTTGGAGAATCGAAAAATGGTGACTTATACTCTTCTTGCATACAGGTTTGAATGGCTTTGTGGATTCCTTTGCAAGAATACTATTTGAAGCGGCACCTCTACAATTTTTAAACTAAACCCTTTAGAAGCATCTGAAGCATAACGCCCACTTATTTAAATGCAAACCGTGAATGCTACTATAAACCTGAATCTCAGAAAACAGAGATTCAGATGTGAGATTTTTCGGGCTGTTAGGCCGAGTTACGCTTTGGTAGCAAAACCAATTGACCACAGCCTAACAACCCGCAACATCTCACAGATTGTAATTTGTAGTCTTGTTTTTTAAACCCTGTTTTTATTTTTTCTTCGAATTTATAATGTAACCGAAAACATGTGGGGACTGAATCAGTGTGATGAGCCACTTGTTGAAGCTGCTTTTTAAGTTCACCTAAAAATCTAACGAATCAGAATATGTGATTAGAAAGTACTAGTTACATAGGTTAGCTTCATGAAGGGAGCCATTACAAGGCATGCTCTGTTTAGTTAGCAAGGCCTATTTCAGCGATGTCACGACGTGATGTTTTTGTTTACTTAATTGATTATGAGAAAGCGTTCGAAAAGATGATGCAAGTGCGGAGGAACACTGGATTAGACGACGAGGATATTAGAATCGACTTATACTGGAATCAAGCAGTCACTATAAAGCTCAATACACAGGAACAAGGTAATGTCATTGCTATACAACGTGGAATTGCACAGGGCTGTATTCTTTCTCCTCCGATCTACAACTCATACTCGGAGGAAATATTTAGCGCAGCCTTGCACAACGCCGACCCTGGAATATGATCTGAAAGTGAACGTAAGTAACTATCAACTGTTCATCAGAGAGAGCCCAGTAAAGTGTTCACATTCACTTATTTGGGAGCGCTAAATAATGAGCAATGAGACTACTCTCGAGAGATTAAATACAGAATAACAAAAGCAAGACAAACTTTTATCAAAATGTCAACACTTTTTAAAAACCACAATTTGGACCTAAACCTCAAACTTGATGCTACATTTTCTCGACACCCTTTTACGGAATAGAGTTATGGACATTGGCACAGGCAGCAATTGAAATGTTTACACGAAAATTCTGAGGATATTGTGGATGGACAGGGTGAATGAATCAGTATTGGAAAGAGTGAGCAAAGGAAGGGTAGTGATAAACATAAAAAAAAGAAGACTTGAATATCTTGACCGTATAATGCATCTCTTGCAGAAGAAGATTTTTATATTTTTGTTATTTCGAACATAATTTAACTAAGTTTTATAAACATTCCTTTTCGTCGACAACAAAAATTGGCATGTATATTCCGTTCATTCTTCTGTGTCACAATAAATAAATAAATTAAAGTAGAATCCAGTCCCTATTTGCTGTCTCGGTATATAAGGGTGTTCAGCAGACACACTATGTGGCTTTAGCGTGACTCCTCCTTATATTTTGTACCAACTTTTCCTGTACCCCTGTACATACGTCGGTCTTAAATCTTTTACGACAGTGTTGCGACACCCGAAACAATTCTCGCCGCTGACCTATTTTCCAGCTCGGACAAAATATTTGTCGTGTGCACCAATGTTCGACCACTAATTGCGTCGCTTTTATAACTTCAGAGCTGTCACTCTCTTCATTAAAATGGAATATGTAATGCGTGTGTCCTTGACATTCCGCTTTGTTATTATTGGAGTGTTTGCAAACGAGAGTTCGTCAAAATTTAGCGCGTTAATCCATCGCGAAAATATCATCGATCGAAATCAGTTTATTCCGAATATAGATAAAAATATTTGTTCAGTGACACGCCCGAATATAAAAAAGTACCGGTATTAGCGCAAACAACTCCGTCGATATCTGATTACTTTACCGGCGATTTTATTGCTCTTTCGCGAGAAATTTCATTTACTGCCGCTTATAAAATTAATAATAACCGAGCGTTTTGGCGACGCGCGAAACATCAATCAATTTCCGATAATCCGCGTCAAAAACAATGCATCAAGTCCAATGTCAACACGCGTTTCCGACGTCAATTTAAACGATTGTCCCTAAACGACGACAAGTGCGTTGAATTTTTAAATTGTTAAAATTGATTTAATAATAGTCAACGTCACTCCGAATATGAACGTGTGAAATTTGTCGCGGTCTGATGGTGATGCCCTCTATGGGCGAAAATTGAACACTTTTACTTAAAGGCCCCGCGGTCGGAAACTCGCATAGGCAGTCGTACGTTTTCCGAAGGTTGTGGGATGGCCCTTTCAGACCTAAAATGTAAAAAGCGATTGGTGACAACGTTCCCGGTAGTGACCCCGGGGTTTGTAGCTGCCAATGGTGCGAACGTATGGCGTTAGATGGCGCTCGCAGCGAGTTAAAAAATTGGCACCAGATTTCAAACAAAAACAACTTGCGCAATAATTTATTTTGGCATACAATATCACAAACAAACGGGGAACTAGAAGCTTTGGGCGCTGGCTTTGAGCAAATTGCCCAACACGATACCGGCAAACAAGAAAGAACCAATCCTGGCACTTGACGCGAACTTTTGCGAACAGTCTTTGACGCTAGCAACATCCAAAGTGGCGATCTGATGAGCCAAATGACTAGCGGCGACGCCCACAGCGGCATAATAGGGCCAAGTCTGGGCGGCTAGATAGCCGGACAACAGTAAATTCGCTACCATCGTCGCGGAGAAACCACTCAGCCACTCTTTGGTGTGCTGGTCAAATTTGATGGCTGTCGATTTTATCCCGATCCGCAGATCCTCCGTTTTGTCCTGGTGGGCGTAAATGGTATCGTAGACAATCGTCCAGCATACTCCGGCAAGATAAAGCGGGACACAACTAGCGTCCAGATAACCTTTCACTGCACTGTATCCCAGGAGCGCCCCCCAATTGAATGTGAATCCGAGCATAAGCTGGGGCCAGTACGTGTACCTCTTCATCAAAGGATATGTGGCCACCAGGACTAGGGAACTGGCACCCAAGAATACGCTGTACCAGTTTAGCTGGAGAAGTACCCCGAGACCCAAACTAAGTTGGCCTCCTAAAAAAATAAATGACTGCTTCAGAGTAACATCATTGTTCACTAGCGGTCGATCTCGGGTGCGTTGAACTTTAGAGTCAATGTCCCGATCCCACATGTCATTAATAGTGCAACCAGCCCCTCGCATGATCAGCGCCCCGGTGCCGAATAGAACAAGCATGTATGGATCAGGGAAGCAGCCAGGGATCGCGGCGGACGCTATGCCCCAGCTGCAAGGCCAAAACAGGAGCCAAGTTCCAGTCGGTTTGTCGAGACGGATGAGCTTTAAATATGGCTTGATTTTTTGAGGCGCGTTGTCGACTAGCCGGGCCGCTAATTTGGGCTCGTCTTGACGCGTGTGCAAGTTGGTTAAAGACGCTTTGCATCGGTGTATCATTCGGTAACCCCAAATTACGTAATTCAAGTTTCGCAGCGAACATTTCCTCAACATCATGCACCAACCTAAAACATAATAGGTCGACTACTTTGTGACGCATTAACAGGTCTCCAAAAACAAGTATTTTTATTTCAAGTTGGTTTCTTTGCTATAAGGACCATTTCGTATCAACGATTTAATCGGTTTTCAAATTACATTTAAAACTTGCATTCGCTTATTTGAAGGTTAGCTTCATAGAACAGAAAATGTGTTTGGAATCGTCAACGATAGATGCCGCCAAAATTGTTATCGCAAAATTGGTAATACCAGATAGTTATTAGATAATATAGAGGCCCTATTTCGGTAAAAATTGATGCAGATATTTCCACTCATGTCATGTCATGTCATGTCTCTACGTTTCACCCACTAACCTGCGCTTGCCGCCATTTTCTTTCTAAATCATTAATCATTAAATCATTTTCTCAAAACATGATTTAGGTATATTTTTTAAAAATACTGGCGCAAAAATGCCGCTAGCTATTAAACACTATACCGGCCGTTTAGAAATCCTAATTACGTACGGCGCTTGCCGAAACATTGTCCTGATACCTAACTACCGAATACCGTCAATGCTCAGTGATGTTGTTATAGCTGAGAGCCGGCATATTTTATTTTAAAGTAGGATATAATATTAGGGCTATTTGATTTCAATTGAAAAAACCGGTTTTATTTTTTCGATGGGGGGCAGGGGGGCGAAGTCGGGGGGGCTATCTCGGAAACGGTACGACCTGGGGGGTCGGGGTTCTCGCCATCGAATTCAGAAAAAAATCTCGAGGAGGAAGCGACCTCAAAAAATCGCTTTTGAGGAGGTAGCCCTTTTTCGGTTTTTCGAGGTTTTCGGAGTTATTTGAGGTCGGATCGGGGCGCGGACGGTATATTCGCGTAGAGGGGCCCGAGGCGCACCGGAACCCTCAAAAAGGACGCCCCTCAAAATTGAGGAGGTATTGAGGTTAGGGAGGGTCTCGTCTCCTATGGGACGGATCGAAAATTCGAGTACCTACGTCGACGCGCCTATACCCGGGCGTCGTTCTGAAGGCCCATGTCCTATACCCGTCTGTGGAGTTTTTTTTGAGGGCGCCTCCTCAAAGTTCAAAAAGTTTGCTATCTCCGAGGTTTACCGGCCGAATCGCTTCGAAACCGGCACGGGGGGGTTTCTCGGGTCGGAAACGCCGGATCCGCCCTCAAAAATCTCCTACCTCAAAAACTCAAAAATATGACCTTTTTCAATGTTGTCGTTGAACGCGTCGATTAAGGTCGCGTTAGGTCCGGCCGGGTTCGGATCGATACGGGAGGTGGTCGAAGGAACGGCCTTTCTTACGATACCCTCCTCCCCGATCTCCTCCCAAACGGGGGGCGACAAGGGGGGATCAAAAAAAAGGACCGCGTTTTTCACTTTCCCAAAATCGGAAATCGAAAATTCCGACCTCGGGGCGTGAGTGAGGTCGCGGAGGGGCGTCGAGCGCCGCCTTGCCCTACCTCCTCAAAAATTCCTCAATATTGAGGTAGCGTCGGATTTTTGAGTATTTGAGGTCGGGGGCGGACCCGACCCGGACGCCCCGAAAGCCCTATACTCAGGCCACGCGTCGAGCCCGAGATCGACAATTGGCGAATTTTTTTGTTGAGGTTTTGAGGAGGTCAAAGGTCAAAAAGTTTGCTATCTCCGAGACCGTCGTTCCGATCGGGACCCAACTCGGTAAAGTTCTGGAGGAGGTCGGGGGAGGAAGTACCCGACCTCCCTCCTCCTCCCTCCTCAAAAAAATTTTTGAAAATTTTTCGGCGGCGTCCCTTTCGAAAAATTCCCCCTCCCGCCCTATGGGACCGGGAGGGGCGCCGAATTTTTTTTAAGTAAAGGGAGGACGGGGCTTTCGCCTGACGCGGTCGGATCCGAGGTCGGTCCCATAGGGAGGGAGTGCCTCCCACAAAAAAAATGCTCAGTGATGTTGTTATAGCTGAGAGCCGGCATATTTTATTTTAAAGTAGGATATAATATTAGGGCTATTTGATTTCAATGCTACATATTTCTCAATTTTAGGTTTTTGTAGTATGATAAAATAGTTCACTCGGTTGCTAAGATGGATAGAAATATAGTTCTGTGCAGTGTTTCGATTAATAGATTTTAAAATATTTAATCTTAAAAAAAACAAGAAAAAAATACCAACAAAAATTATTTTTATTATATATTGATTTATTATTTAGATTTAATAATTTTTTTTTGTGTGATAATCCTCAAAACATTTTCCCATACATAAAGGAATTACACAATATGAGCACATGAAACAGGTTTCCTTCCTTTTTCCGTTTTTTTTGCAAACTCTGCAGCGCTTTTGAGGAAACTTCTTATTGCCTGAACTAGTAATTTTCACAATTTTATGTTGTCTCATGTCTGCAGAAAGTCTCATTGGTGCATCTTCGCGAGAAACTCTCTTGGATACATTTCCTGGACTCTCTGAATGAACATATCCTTTTTCAATCCAGTTTTGCGCAATATTTTTCAAAAAAGATGAAAATTTTATTTTTTTTCCTGGATTCAGAACCTTGAAGACAACAAATGAATTGAACAGTGCAGTATTTAATATGAACATAAAAGCCTTCTTTGTCCATTTCACAGTTTTTCTTATAATAGGATTATAAGCAAGGTATTGGTCTGCTATATCAACTCCCTTCATGTACTTATTATATTCCAAAATTGTTTCTGGTTTTTGTATCAGATCGCCAGTTTTTCGATTTATTTTCTGGGTTTGTATCATTCGAGCCTGGTGTATTGTTGAAATCATTCTTACAACTCTTTTATCTTTCCAAATATGTATTAGAATTTCACCTTTTCTACGGAAGTTGTGTTGTCCTTGTTTTAAAGTAATTTTTTTTAGATCGTGTGGTAGCCCGCGGTTCTCTCTTATAGTTCCACAAATTCTTATCTTTTTGTAGAGTAACTTCTGTGCTAACTGAACACTGTTGTAGTAATTGTCCATGTAAACATGGTGCCAAATATTTCCATAACCATCTAAAAGGTTTACGACCAGGTTTTGCAATGTTTCTCCATTGCCACTATATAATTTAAATTTGCATATATATCCAGTGTCGGATTCACACAACATTCTCACTAATAACCCATACTTTGTAATCTTTCCTGGGTTGTACACTCGGAAACTTACTCTACCTCTGCAAGGAATCATGGCTTCATCCAACGATAGATTTTGTTTTGGTTTATAGACTTTATCAAACTTCTCTATAAAGTATTGCATTATTGATTCTACTTTAACAAGTCGACTTGCGTCATCAGGGATTGCACTATTATCGCAAAAATGTAGTGATTGTAGTATTTGCCTGAATCTATTTCTAGTCATGATTTTACCAAAAATTGGTGTTTCCATGTACGGATCAGTAGTCCAATAATCGTTAACATTATTTTTTTTTACTTGTCCCATCAATATATTCAAAGCTAAAAATTTCTTGATTTCTGTTATCGTGGTATCTCGCCACTGCTTTGTGCTTTTTACACGTTTATATTTATGCATGTTTTGCATATAATATCTATTTGTCTCTGTTACTAATAATTGAAAAAAATCATCATCTATAAACAAATCCACCACGTCTGAAATATTTTCTGCATTTCTTGGGAACACTTTAACCCCAGAATTTCCCAAAAATGGGTTTACTGTAATATCGTTATCGATTTGGGACCAATTTGATGTTGAACAGTTCTGTTCGTTTTCCAATATCGTGTCTTCTGAATCGCTGCTTTCAGATTCACTTATAATTGGCAAAACATTTCTTTTTCTGCTACTTTCTGCTAAATCTGTATCGTCGCTGTTACATTCTTCATCATTTTCAAACTCAGATAATATATCGGCACATACCTCATTACATTTATTAATTAATTCAAAGTCGTCTTCTTCCATGATATCGCAGGGCAAACAATTAAATTAATATATAAATTACTTAATTAATCAGTCAATTCGTAAGTTAATTATTGCAGAACACAAGCTAACTCTTAAATTATCAGTTATAATGTGACATTTACTATGACAACAAAAAACGTACTACTACGTCAACGGCGCCTAGATTTACAACCAAAAATAACGTACCACTACGTCCACGGCACCTAGATTTGTCACAATTAATGACGTATTACTACGTCAACGGCTACAAGATTTTGGATGAAAAAAACGTATTAATACGTCAACGGGCACTAATGTGTTAACAATCTGTCAGGGGCCATTTTGATTGTTCAATTTCGCAAGGTTAACTGGGTTATAACTACAATTCCAAAAAAAAAACTGAAAAATCTATGTTTATTGATTATAATTTTCTACACATTTAAGAGGTTATGTTGATTTTTTGAGCATGCAAAATCATTTCTTTGCGCAATCGATCTCTGTTTTTTGTGTACCATTTAACAAATTCGGCCACCATGGGGTTTGACTTGTCGCCATTCTTCTCCAACTCTTGATAGTATGAGTGGCGAATGACTTTTAAGCAGGTGCTATTCCGGTAAGGCACCCATGTCACTGGATCGACATACAAAGCGGGCAATCCAGTGACTGCACATTTCAGCCTTTTAGGTTTAACAGGGGGAGGCTTGAGATTAAAAATCTTTTTATAGGTGACATCGTGTGGATCGTCGGTTATCGTAATAAATGTACGCTCACAATATATTGACTCACTTTTTACCTCTCTAAAAAATAAACCCCCAGGATGATAAAACCGAATTCTATATGAATATACCCTGATTTTTCAATGATAGGCATCCGTGTAGACCGGTATTGTATAACTGGGCCTGTGAATGTTTTTTTCGCGACCCGCTTAGTTTTCTTCTCCAGTTCCAATTTCTGGTACCTTTCCAAGGACTCTATGTTTTCCATCTCTGTTATTTTAGCCTCTTCAAGGAGCTCCTCCTGAGTTGGAACCCAGGTGTCCTCCCTGGGTCGTTTCACTTTTTTGCGTTGTTCTTGATCGCGCACTTTTACTCTGTGCTCAGTTGCCGCGGTTTTTGCAGCAGTAGATTGCCTCTTTGACTTCCTTTCTAAAAGCTAAGGAGTAAAGTCAGAAAATATACCTCAAACTGTACCTGATTGATCCAGGACATCCAGAGACTGCCGTGGTGGCTTAGGTTTGGACTTCTCCTTAGGGGTCGATAATGGCTCTTTGTATGCTTTGGTGACGAGCCTTCTCTTCTTTTTAGGCCCGCTTTCTTCATCGTTGTCTGAGACAGCTTCATCGTTTTCGTCTATACTAAAGTCCGAGTCAACGATATCCTCGCCTTCCTCTTCCGCTCTAAAATATACGCCTTCCACATTCTACGCGTAAAACGACCGAATTAGTGAACAGTTTTACTCGTATTCGTTATCCGACTCCGTTTCGACGAAACCACCGTAGTTTTGCTTGTAAAACTCGTCCTGGCATTCTTCTTCTTCGTCGAGAAGTTTCGACATGCGGTTGCCCGCATTGGCTCGTTTAGATCGCAACATATTTTTAATAAATATAAATGACCAAAATATAGCCTTAATTTTCTTACGTTAAAAAGTTTTTTTTGGTTGGCAGCAATTGCAGCTAAAGCACGGCATACCTGGAATGCAAATTTAATGATTGCACCACAAGCATTGCTCGTCGATCACTTTTATTTAGATATGATATATGATAAATGAAAATAATTCTTATAATACTGTAACGTGCCTTGGAACGTTTCCCAGCGCGTATCCGGATCATAAAATTTTTTATTGTGGTCTGTGTGTATTGATATATTTATATATATATATATATATATATTTTTGCTGTTCTGTGATGTTAACCTAAAGGCAGCAAAAGGCGCTTTAATGTGTGTTACTAATATTCAATCGATAAAAATGGCTACATAGTTAAATAACCGAATATAATGATTAAGAATTATCTCGAAACTCTATCCTTAGCATCTAAATATGAGGGGCGTAGAGTTTATAGCATTTATTATCTTTTTAATGCGAAGCGCAAGTGGTTGGTCCTTTGGCTCCTGGATTTTGCCTAAGGTAGACAGCTACAATCCCTATTGTTTCGTTAAAGAGTGCTGCAACAAAGATTGGATCAATTTCGACAGAGAGAGTGAGTGTACCATCAGAGCCACCAATCACGTTTGTATTAGTTGAAGCCTAAAGGATGTATATTTTTTGCCTAGGACTGAGCAACCATTAATTAAATCACTTCCAGAAAACTTCAAAAGTATTTATTTGATCTGGTGCGCTTTTGTTTATTGTCTCATTTATTTATAGAAATGATAGTGATTCTTATTTTAATTCATGACTGTTAGTAGCTAGTAAATTAATAGCATTAAATTATAATCTAGCTCCTTCATTATTTATATATATATATATATATATATATATATATATATATATATATATATATATATATATATATATATATATATATATATATATATATATATATATATATATATATATATATATATATATATATATATATATATATATATATAATTTTTTTTTTTTAATGAGCGTCTTAAAAGTACTGAAATCACTTCAGTGGGGTCCCCATCCATTGTCAGAATTATTGCGATGAAATTATTTTAGTGCTTAGTAAGAATTTGAAGGGCAGGGTGTATGGGCAACCTCTGGTTAACAACGTTGTGAATGCGCTCGCCGCCCATTTTAGCCCGCACTATGAACCGAGGAAGGCTTTAACCATCAGTTTCCACGGGTGGACAGGCGGCGGCAAAAACTACGTCGCCAATTTTATCGCCGAGAGTATATTCAGGAAAGGCGCAAAAAGTAAATACGTGCATCAGTTTATTGGTCGCCTCCATTTCAGTGAAGAAGCGAAAGTTGAACACTATAAGGTACTGGTTGATCGGGTAAATTGGGGTCGTAGCTCTAATATGTCTTCAATGTATCTTCAAGCATAATCTGGTGCAGTGGATCAAGGGTAATGTCACATACTGTCCACAACAATTGTTCATATTCGATGAAGTTGACAAAATGATCCCGGACGTTTTAAACGCCATTAAACCAATGATCGACCACCGAGACAACATCGAAGGCATTGATTACCGCCAGTGCATCTTCATTTTCCTGTCAAACACCGGAGCACAGTTAATCAACGAGCACTACCTGGACATGTACAAGGAGGGCCGTAATCGGGAAGAGTTGGCCCTGGGAGACTTTGATGATTACATAAAACGGGGCGCGTTCAACGAGAAAGGTTGGTTTAACAGGGACGGTGCCTGTCCAATAAGCCAGTTGTGGCGCTACTTCAAATACTCCTCGTGGCTGGGAACGCTCTATTATGCCGTCGTTTCAGGGGGATTTTTCCAAAACGACAACATAAAAAGTGACCTAATAGATCACTATATCCCTTTTTTGCCGCTCGAAGAGAGGCACATACGTCTATGCATCAAGGACGAATTCGTTTTGCGCCGTGTTTTGAATCCTAGCGCGCAGCACATAGACGCAGTGTTGAAAATCGTGCAGTGGGGCCCCGAAGGCACTAAACTATTTTCGAAGACCGGCTGTAAGCGGATCGGGGCTCAGGTGGGGTTACTTACGGAACAGTACTACCGAAAAAACGAGTTGTAGCACCCGCAGATTACTTTTTACCTAATTTTTAAATTAAAATCTATTTTTTATGGGAGGTATTTTTGTAAGGAGTCCAAAATTTTCCTAATAGCGTAGTTTGATCATCCAATTGGAGGTTATGTTCAAACCTGATGTTATTCATTAAACTCGACACCATAAACGCGGGATTAAGTTGGGGGAAAGCGTTATCGTCCCGGCCTTTATGGTATCCTAATCGAAAGCTTTGTTCTTCCGAAATCGAATCTTCAAACGCCCGATTGTACTTTTCTAAAGTGACGTGAACACTACGCGCCCCAGAGGGATTTGCCAACTGCAGCGACCGCGCATCCGGAACCCGATCTTCATCGTTCTGGATCCCTAATATTCCGAAGAATTTTCCGGTTCTAAAGGGGGAGAACGATAAGCCCCCGATTCGCAGTGCACAAATTCTTCAAAAAAGGAACCCATCGCCAAGCAAACAGAAGTTGTAGGAGGTGTCATTTGCGAGGCGGCGGGGCGACATCTCTTGGATATTACGTGTAATGAAGACTTTGATTCGTCGCCGTTAGATGTCACATCCTGTCGGGAAATGAGTGCGATTCTTTTCCCGTTGTACTTAGTATTATGGGTTGCAGAATTTTTATTCTCTTTTTTTGTCCGATTGTGTTAGCACTTTGAACTGTGGTGTTAAATAGAGTGAAAATTTTAAAAATAAATATTCGGCTATCACTTAAAATGTATCCCTTGTGTATTCTCAAATGCAGATCACTTTTAAAATTACAAGGAAGCAAACATATACCTCAATAACTTAAATAACTTTATTTTTGCACATAGGCAATATATACATAACTAGGTAAAATTAAATTAACACAAGACTTTCGTGGGGAATGTTGCGCCTGGGCTGTGTCACATTACAATTCCAAAACAAGTTATATGTAACTCTATATTGACCAACTACCGCATTACTGCAAAGGGTTTCCCTGAAAAAATGTGGAAAATTAACTGCCGGCCATATGAACCTAAAATAATTTACCCATTGTTTAGCCATAACCAATATCGTGTGTTTGTCCAATCGGGGCCCGATGAGGGGGTTCATCTGTGCAACATAGCAGCAAAGCCAGCTGAAAGGTGCAACTCAAGTCACATGACCCCACACTGTTTTAAACTAAATACTCACAACAGCCAGCAACACACACCGGTCAACATCAGTATCACTTGAATTATGCTGAAAAGGGAAGGAAAATAATAAATTACCTTGATGCTATACAATAGCCTTAACCTTACCCCCTGTTGGGTCCTTTCGGCACGATAAAGGGCAAAACAATGCCCACCCCGCCCCACAATACCGTGAAAATGATAAAAGGTAGCGCTGCCGCACCCATGGTCTTGAATTTAGTCGCCCGACTTTTAAAAATACAGCGAGCTTCGAAAATTATCTGCCAAGCCCGTATCACCAAAAGCAGAAATTGGCAGTCGACTGTCGACAATCATATGATCCTAGGAGTCGATTTTGGTCGGTTGGCGTATCTTTTGAAATGCTCAGCAATTATCTAACGAAAAGTATCAACAAAGAAACGTTTTATTCGTCGAGCGGCTTTAACATAACTATAACAATGGAAAACAAAAATCAATATCTTTTAAATAACGGCTAAATTTCGATATATGGAGGAAGCAGAACACAGTTGAATTTTCCTATCTGTGCCTTTTCATACTCTGTGTTGCTTTGGCTGACAAGTGTGCCATGGGTCGACCTCGTGGATTGATTGAGTCGTGCGTTACCTCTTCTCGTTGCTGCCCTCCTGATCGAAAAAGCGATTGATTGAAATTCATTGCGTGCCGATTTGTGATTTTATTAATTTGTGGAACGAGCAAGTGTGGTACGTACCGCTTTATTTGCTATTTACCGAAATTGTTTCGTTGCGTTTGATTTCAACGGGAGCCATGCTATTGTATAGAGCAAAAATGGCCGCCATTGTTTAATTACACAACTCTTGAAATTTACAAATGAAATTGCGGTGGCCCGGTTCTACCTATCGATATCGCCGAAAACCACATCCAGGGAAGCTGAAAACATAATTCCCACGTTCGGTAAAATTTTCCGATTAAACCTCGTACCTAATATGGCCACCGCGTCGGCTAGCAATAAATTTTTCGCCATGTAATTCATTCCCGACAAGTGCGCGAAACCGGGCGAGCGGATTTTGCATCGATACGGCTTCGACGACCCATCGGACACCAAATAGACACCGAATTCGCCTTAAAACCCGAAATTAAACGGACAATTAGTAATATTATGCATAGATTCAGTTACCTTTGGGGTGTTCGATGCACGTGTAGGTTGAGCCGGGGGGCACTTGGAATCCGCGCGAGAACAACTTGAAGTGATGGATGATACTTTCCATGGACGTCTGCAACACAAAATCGAGTTGCTAGGGTTCTCGGTAGCATGGTGTGTCGCCGTATACTTTCATTTCTCTTCTCGAGGGTGGTGTTATTTTGTTATCATCCAGTTTGACTTCGCCTGCGGGCATTTTGTTTAACAATTGGTTGATCATGCGGCACGATTGCCTCATTTCCTCGACGCGTATTTGATACTTGTCGTAAATGTCGCCTTTGCGGCCCACGGGCACGTCAAAGTCGAGTTCGTCATACACCTCGTACGGTTTCGCCTTGCGAATATCCCATTTTACACCGGATGCCCGTAGCATAGGTCCCCTTAAAAAACGTGACCCATTTTGAAGTTTAAAAATACGTTTTCCTTGCAGGTGGTCGACTGTCCGGAAACCGAAACGCATACGGGGGGTAAGTGTTTCCGATTCCTGTTTAAAATAATTTTCGCCCATTGTGGCGGAAAAAATAATAGTGAATAAGCCAAATTGGTTGGTTTAAAGACCATTGCGTTGTTAGAGTTCATTTGTCAATTCAGCTTCTCACGGATAGATGGCGCGTCTTTAAATGTAGGATTGCGGTCTTACGAGAATCCTCTGTTGAGCGCCTCGTGTGCCGACACCACCGCGATGTCTCGCGTTCGACTCCTGAGTATTCTGTTTTTCGTCACGAAGTCTTCGAGCTCGTCGAGCCGCTCCGGTATTTTGTTGACGATTTCGAATATGTCGTCCATGAGACCTAGGGGCATATCCTTTGCGCGTGACGGCGACGTTGAGGTTCGATGCCGGATAACGGGACTTTCGGGAGCTTACCTGACTCACCCCGCCTATCCGAAAGTAGCCGCAATGCATACGCGAGCCGCAGACCCGCTCGCATATTTCGTACATTTTTTCGCGTTCCTCGAAGAACCAGAATAGGGGCGTGATGGCGCCGACGTCCAGCATTAAAAAGGACGTCGCGGCAAGGTGGTTCATAATCCGGGTTAGTTCCGAGAACAGGGTGCGAATGAATTTTGCCCGGCGCGGCACCTTGCGGATGGTTCGGGTGGAATAGGCTGCTTTAACATCTGGTCGCCAATTTACCTGAACTTTGAGGAGTTTCTCGACGGCTAAACAGAACGCGTGTTCGTTGCACAAAGGGGACAGATAGTCGAGTCGGTCGAAATAGGGCAACGCTTGCATGTACGTTTTGTATTCGATCAGTTTCTCGGTGCCCCTGTGGAGCAGCCCGATGTGGGGGTCGGCGCGTCTCACGATCTAGGCGGGGTGATAAAATGTTAGGGGCAAAAGTTACGAAAGATGGGGTTTCCCGGGGACTACCTCGCCGTCCAAATGCAGAATCAGCCTCAAACACCCGTGGGCGGCTGGATGAGCGGGTCCGAAATTTAACTGGATGAGTTTCACTTCCATATCCCTGACCGGCCGCTTGGCGTTGTGCGGTTGCATTTTGATTTTGGAAGTGACATCGTCCGGATATAGGACCGGCCCTTCGAAAAACTTGAAGTAATCTTCGTTGGCGTACCACTGCTTGAAGCGCCGAAAGGTCTGCTGCGCTGTTCTCGGCTTCAACAGTTTCGCCATTCGAGTGACGTTTGTTAGGATGACGGGCGGGCGTGGTAAAAGTCAAAGTCGCGGCGTCAAGATAAATTCAATATATTTGTTTTTTGTTTTTTTATACACAGTTTTTGAGATAATAAAAATCATTACACGTAGGTATAAATAAAATCTCTTAAAAACATTTACGTTTAGGGTGATGGGGTGTATGATAATAGTTGTTTATTCCTTAGACGCTTAATGGGAGAAAGTCTAATTACAACAGGTCGTTCCGATGATTGCTAACAAGAATCGATGCAAATTGTTACGATAGGTTCCGTTATGGGTAAATTTTTGATTTTCGACGATTTTTTCGTAAAGAGAAACTCAAAAATGCGGCGGTACCTACTGCGAAGTCGGACTTAGGGTCTAGGTGGCGCGCGAGACGCCCAAAAGTAAAAGGTGTCGGTGGAGTGGGGACATGGCGTTTCGGGAATTGACTTTATCAGCTTCGGTTGGTTCTTTGCGGGTCTGGCGCGCCCATACAATTTTTCTTTAATATATAATATATACACGTATTTTTAGTTTAAAATGCAGTCGGGTATACAGGGAACGTTCGTTCCGGCCGTAACGACCGACACGGCCGCTAATAAATTATAAATACTATTCGTTCCTCGTAACACAAAACAATAATATAGTAGTAGTAATAATAATAGTGTTTTACACAGTACAAGTTATAGCCTATAGGGGTCGTTTGGACCTTGCGTCGGCAAGGGTTACGGGGTTTCTTTCGATACATAGACAGCGCCACTAGTCACATTTCTAACGTCGCGTGTGTTCGTTTCAGTGTGTGGTTTTTTTTCTCTTTTGTTTGCTGGCTCCAGTTTGAACTCTCATAGTTGCGTTTACATAATAAATATCCATCCCTACAGATAAATATAAATATATATATAGAGTTTGCGGGATAATATCGTCGATCTAAGCGTAAAAGAAAAGACAACGATGCGGCGGGACGGGGACCGAGGGGCGTGGGGCGGCAGCGGAAAAAGAACAAGTTAAGCGCGTTGCAAACGAAACACAAAGTCTACCACCACTGCATCTGTTCCATGTGCACGTGCACCCGCTGCTTGATCCACAGCACCGCGAGGTACACGAACGACGTGATGGTGACGAAGTAGAGGAAGGCGGACAACATGCATTTGGTGTCGTGGACCGCGACTAGTTTCGCGTCCTCGCCGCCCCCATCCTCGAGCTCGTCGAACGTTTGGACGACGAGGCCGTCGTAGTTCTTGGGCGCGGTGTCGTTGCGCACGACGAACGTCAGGCGGTACGGGGTGGGAGGCGGCGACTGCACGACTGGGGCGGTTCGGGGCAGGTCGCGGGAGTCCGCGCGGCTTCCGTTAGAAGTGTGAATAGCGGCTTGTGTCAGTCAGTAGCATTTCCTGGTGCACGCGCATCTGCGCACCACGTCGACGTCTTTCGTGTAGCGGGTGCCGTCGGAACATATGAGCCGCACCTTTCGCCGTTTGCTCTTGCGCGCGTGGCAGCAGCCGGACGACGCGCCGCACGCGCCCACGCACTTGGACATTTTCAACGGCTTCCTCGACCTGCACCCGTTTTCCGAGTAGTACTCGCGCACCTGCTCCTTCCTACACGTCGGAGCTGGAACGTTCAAAGCTGACGCGTGAAAAGATGAGAAAGCTCCTATCGCCGCTCCCCATACTTACGTTCGTCCTCGCCTTGCTCGCAGTATTTGCCCCTGAAGCCGGGCCTGCACCGGCACATGTACTCGCCGTTGCTCGTCGCCAGACATTTGCTGCAACCATAGATGTATAATCAGTGCTTTCATTTCAAGGTGATGCAAATATAAACAAAATCTAGTGTGGACTCCCAAAATCAACTTTTCGCATTATCAGAAACCAAAAGAAAGATAAGATGTCAATGAAACAAATCAAATGCCGATTATTTACCATCTCTTCAAAAGTTAAACAGCTACTCAATGTCAATACCTCGCACAGCAATTACTAACTTAAATCCTCTAGCAACACAATATCATTATCCTTATGTTTAAAAAAGGAGATATGAAGTTGTTTTCAAACTACGGAAGTATAACTCTCCGAAGCACTGCGCAGGAACAAACAACGTCAAGTTATAGTAAACAAACTTAACACACAGCAGACGAACAGCGAGGTTTCAGATCGGGCAGTTCCTGCGCGGACGCGGCCTTAGTCATAAGACAGATAATAGAAAATTCAATTAAAAACAGATCAGCATACATGTGTCTAATTGATTCGGAAACCTTTTTTATAACAGGCAAAATCCACGTAATCTCATCAAAACAATAGATATTACATATGAAGCAAATTATAAAAATAAATGGCGTCCTGACCGAAGCAATAGCAGTGGGCCGTGATATTCGCCACGGAGACTCCTTGAGCCCCTTCCCATGGAAGGGGGCTCATGGTTTACTGAAAGCATACACAATGGGCGATCCTGGAATGACTATCCTATGCTTCGCGGATGACGCCACACTGGTGATGATATATAATATGGTAATATCAACCCAAAAAACTAAAGGAATAACATCAAGGCACCATTAAGGAGCAAACTAGAAGTTGCACCCAGCAGAAGTATACAAAATCTCGGGATATGTTGAGGCGGAGATAAAAGAACAGACAACAAGGGCAAGAATAGCATAATAGGATAACCGAGTGTGACCAAATAAAAATATTAAAATAGAAACTAAGTCGGAAATATATGATGCAAAACAAGCCAAAACAGCGAAAACTAGACAACTACAGGGGACAACCGTAGAATAATTAGAAAAACGCGAGAGGACGAAAATAAAAAAAGAAGAATAGGTTTCAGAAGTTTAGGACGCCCCTGAAAACGATGTAGCAACAACTTGGCGGTGCGATAGGCAGCGACGTCCAGTGCGATATACAGAACATTTTTATGTATTTAAAAGTGATTTTAAAGTGATTTTAAGTATTGCTATTAAAAGACTGATAGCGAAGATGGCTTGATACTATGAGGTCTGCAAAGAACTTGCCGGTTTAAATTCCGACGTTATGTGAATAACAAACAAGTCAATGACATGTTTCATTTATTTTCAGATGTGCTTTGCATTGTCTCTAAATGTGTGTCAATGATTCATTTAGGCAATACTCCTCACCCCACCAGTTCTCTGCCCAAATTCCTATATTTGCATCACAACGCGGTCAAAAACTATCCGTTCCCGTACTTCTTCCGTCACTCACCTGTCGTGCTTGCACCGGTGGCCGAGACACGGGTCGGGCGGCGGTCCGGGCGGCTCGCCTACCATCTCGTCCATCTCGTCCTCCTGCCGCTCGTCGTCGTCCGCCTTGTCTTGCTCTACCGTGCCGCAGCCAGGCTGCACCTTCTGTTGCGTTTTCGCGTTGCCGAAATCGACCGGTTTGTGATTGATCCACACCTCCTTCATGCAGCCGTGGAAGCTAGTGAGGTTGCGCAGGTGCCACTCGGAGAAAGCGAGCTGGCCCGGTTCCGGCGGTATTCCGCCTAGGTACATGGGCGATGTCAGCCGTAGGTAGTCTTTCGGGCCGTCGTTGATGATGCTACGCGCGAGGCCCCTGTCTACGCGTAGCGTGAAATTCTTCTTGACGGCGATCAGCTCCGCGACGTGGTACTGGCCGTCGGACACCATCTCGAAACTGTACATTGTCGATACGGGATAGTTGCCCACGTTATAGCTGACGCGGATGCGGCCGCTAAAGAGCTCGACGGCGAGGTGTTCGTGCTCGCCGTCGTACATCAGCACGCCGTCCTCTTGCGTCGTGGCGAACACCACGGTGACGTTCGCCTCCGGTTTGGTGCGCAACGGTTCCAGTTCGACGTAGGACGTGTTGTGTGTGAAACTGAGGCTGGTCAAGTACTCGCATCGTTTGCCGGAGTAGCCGGGGGCGCACTTGCACACGTAGTCGTTAGAGCCGGACGGCTGGAAGCACACGCCGTGTACGCAGTCGTGGTGTTGGCACGGCGACGTCTGCGGGTACATCATCGCCACCAGCGGGCTAATTTCGCAAAACTTGCCGGCGTAGTCGCCCGCGCACTGGCACACGTACTCGTTCACGCCGTCGACGCAGATGGCGCCGTTCTGGCACATGTGGTTCTCGCAGTCGTCGACGTTGATCGAGCAGTTCTCGCCCTTAAAGCCGGGTATACACTCGCAAGTGTAATAAGTATCGTGATCGACACAGCGAGCGTTATTTTTGCAAGGGTTAAATAGTCCTGTACAAAAGGGAATTTTCTTTTCGCAATGGTCGCCCATGTAACCGGCCGGGCACCGGCACCGGTACGCGTCGACGAGGTCGACGCACGTCGCGTTGTTCTGGCACTCGTTGTCGACGCAGTCGTCGATGTTGGTCTCGCAGCGCAGACCCGTGAACCCCGCGGGACACTGGCAACTGAACCGCCCCTCCTCGAGCACTTTGCACGCGCCGCCGTTGCGACACGGGTTGCCGTAACACGCGTCGATCATGAACTCGCAATTTTTGCCGTGGTAGCCGGGCGAGCATTTGCATTCGTAGTCGCGTTCGGGCAGCGTAAGACACTTGCCGTTGTTTTGGCACGGGAACGTGTAACACGCGTCGCATTTGGCCAGTATGTCGCTGCTTACTTGACCTAGCATGGGAGAACGAGACTTGTGGCCGTGATATATAAACACTTTTTGGACTGAGAGAACAAACGAACGCGGAGATCGATTACCTCTGCCACAGGAAAAAAAAAGGTTCAAAAAATTAATAACATCATTAAATTACCTACTTGTTGCCACAACTAAACTTAAACTAAAGAAGATGAAATAGAAAGATGTTAGGAAGCATGATTTGGGACAGCAGAGAATCAATGACCGTATGACGATGAAACTGTATATAATGAAGTTAAAGAAAAAACGTTTACGATGTCCTGCATACTAGGTAATATGGAAAGCAGAAGAAACAGGGATAGCAACATATATCGACAGAGAGATAAAGAAGTCTATTAGATAGGACAAAACTGGGTGAATGGAGGGACGCTGCAGTGAGATTGAAGCCTTTGAGAAGCAATATTACTCGTTTAGTTTATATAAGAAAATCAAGGAAATTGCTGGTTTGCACAGACTTAAAACATCCGGTGACACAAAAAGTACGCATTGCCAGCAATATGTAGATTATACTTTTAAAGACGACAGAAAGAGTATCCTACTTAATATACGTAGCCAGCAATAATGTACGAGGAAGAATCTCAGAGCTCCGCAATCTAAGAGTGAACAAGATCAGAATAGTCAATGGATATTGTATCCAAAATATTTTGGACATCCACCCACCAACCCACGTGCACTTTCTTTTTCTTTTTTGAAAACGAAAAAAAAACAATATTATTATCAAACTTATTACTTTCATTGTTATTATAAACACCGAGTTTAATAATAATTTCTGCATACAAAAATACGACAACCCTTCGGTTCCTAGGAACCACAAAAGCATTAGTTATGCCACTAGTTTATGGCTTTTACTAAGCTAACAAAAAGTAACGTTATGTTTTAACTAGCCACGTGATGTCGAAGAAACCGATCGAATCGTTCCCTTTATGCGCGAGGTCATTACTAGTGGTAGGTGAACGGAACTCACCCTTGCAAACGAACGCAGCCGAAGGTGTGGACAGTATGGACTTGTCCTTCATGGGCGGTGGCTCTGCGCAGTGAGCGATACCAGGCTCCACGTAGTCCACTTTGACCCAATCCGAGAGCCACTTCAGCGAACAGTCGCAGTATAAGGGGTTGGATCCCAGAGCGCTGAAAAAATGTCGGGCCGTCAGCGGTGTCCGAGCTAAAACGCGTCAGCTTACATGTGACTGATGGACTTTAGATTGGCGAAGGTGCCTTCCGGGATCAAGGAGATTTGATTGCCGTGTAACGACAGTATCCTCAACGACTGGAGTCCCTGCAAAGAGTCGCGCTGCACGCACTGCAGCCGGTTGTAACTGATGATGAGCGTGGAGAGCTTGGACAGATTAGAGAAGGAGCCGTTGGCGAGCATGCCGATCTTATTCGTGCTCAGGTCACTGTAACGGAAACGCGCGTAAGAGATGACGGGTCCACCTGCGTGCTCGCACTCACAGCCTAGTAAGCGACTTGAGGTGACCGAGCCGGTCCGCCTGTATGCGCTCGATCTCGTTAAAGTCCAGATAGAGCTCGGACGTTTCGGGCGGGATGCCGCGCGGGATCTCCTTGAGGTTGGCCCGCGAGCACCGGACTACGGTGCCCGTGCACGAACACTTGGGCGGGCAATAGTTGTCGCCGAGACAGCCTTGATCGTTGTCGCTGCTGCACTTGAATTCCGTCTTGGGCAGTTCCTTGATCGGGACGTCGCGGACGCGTTCGGGGGCGGCGCACCTCGCCGCCGAGCCACTCAGACCATTCGACTTGAGCCACTCGGAGAACCAAGCCAAGTGGCAGTTGCACACGAACGGGTTTTGGACGAGGTTCCTGCGTTGGGTGGGAGGTGAGACGGGGCGTCGCTCGTGCGCACGTCATACTCACAGCGTGTGGAGCGAGCGCAGGTGGTCGAAGGAGCCGGGCATCACGCACGTGATGTGGTTGTTGTTAAGCGAAAGCAACTTGAGATTGTGCAGACCGAGGAACATTTTGTTGTGCACCTCGATGAGCTTATTTTCTGACAAGAGCCTATGGAGAAGCAGGAGTTTAAAAGAAGAAAAGTTGTAATACGTTCCCTTACAGTTCGGATATTTTCGATGCCGCCTCGAACGAGTTCTCCTCGATGCCGGTGATTTGGTTCCGCCGGAGGTCGAGCTTCACCAGATTGGGAAGCCTTCCGAAGAGGCCGTCCGACTTGATGCGGCCCAGCTCGTTGTTGTGCAGCAATCTGAATATGACACGCAAATTAGTCGCGACTACAAACGCGCACGCGCACTTACAGCTCGGTGGTGTAGAGCGGCACGTCCCTGGGGATCTCTTTGAGCCCGCGACCGGAACAGTCGACGACGGTACCGTCGCAAGAGCACCCGGCCGGGCAGTCGCCGTCGATGAGGCAGTCGCCCGCGTAGCGAGTGCGGAAATCCTCTTGACCTAAAAAAAGGAAAAGGTTCTCGAAGCGTACGGCTACGGCACTTTCCCAGCCTCCCTACATTTAAACTTTTCGTCCTTCAACCACGCGATTTTCTTACGCTGCATTCGCTTCGGGCTCTCGCACCGAGCGTCCGACGACTCCAGGTTCGGGTTGATGTGGAGATACTCGACGAGCCACTTGAGATTGCAGTCGCATATGAACGGGTTCTTGGCCAGGTGCCTGCAACAGATGGCGCGTTAGTGCGGCGGCGAAATAAGGCGCAACGCGCACTCACAGCGTTTGGATCTTGCGGAGCGAGTCGAAAGTGCCGTTCGCGAGTGACTGGATATGGTTGTCGTAGAGCGACCTGGAAAGTATTAATTACAATTGGCGCCCGGACGAGAGAAGCGGGACTCACAGGAGACTGACGCTGTGCAGGTCCTTGAACGTGTCGCGTCGAATGCAGGAGATTTCGTTGGCGTTAAGTAACCTGCAACGAACATCGCAATAGAGAGTTTTGCTAAAACTAAAACGAAGTGATGGCTCTGAAAATTTGGGAGGGCGCTCCGCTTCAGTAAAAAAAGTGCAAAGTATTTTTTCTAATTTTAACTTAAGCGCGATAGTTTTTTTCTAGAGAGAAGCTTTGATCATAATGCTCTCTGCATTTGAAATAAACATTTTCACGTTCCTTCGCGGACAGTCAGAACATCTCCAGTATTCCACGCATCAACTCTCACCACACACTTATTGGTTAGAAGTCTAATGATTTGAGTTTTGGTTTTTTTGGTGGTTTGCCGCAGCAAGAAGAAGTTTTGGTTGTACTTGCCCATATTTTCACCTATCAACCAGACAAGAGAATTTGACCAGCTCATTTATTAATGACCAAAGTCTAAAGTCCAAAACTTCATGATTCGTTTGGAAGCCAAAAACGGAGTTGGTAGAAAAAAGAACTATTGCGTTGGAGAGTGTAGAAAAAGTGGTAACCTCAATTACGTGCCCGTCCCTACTGCAGTGGGCATTACTTACAGGAGCTGCAGCGAGTAGAGGCCTTGAAACACGCCGGCCGGCAGCTCCTTGACTTTGTTGCGATAGAGTACCCTGCAACAAATAAAAGCAAATTTAAACGGTCTCTTCATCGAAAGTCAGCGTCGTCTTACAGGGATGTCAGCGCGCCGAGCCCTTGGAACGCGTCCGGCGCTATCTTGGATATCTTGTTGTTGCTAAGGTCGCTGCAATTTTTCGGGTTAGAGAGCGGCAATTAATCCCCCCCTCCACCCTACTTACATTCTGCGTAGTCGTTTATAGCCAGAGAACGCTTTGGTGGGCACGTGCGCGATCTCGTTCTGCTCGAGCCGTCTGTAAGAAACGCCACGTACAATAACAATAGATAGACAGATGAATAATCTTGGCTGCAATAAAAAGCGTTGTTACCCGGAGTCGTACGGGTGGTATGGGCCGGGGTAAAATGATATTTAAAAAGGGGGTTTTTACTTTTTAAAACATTAATCCTAATTTCTCACGGAAAGTGAATGGTATTAGTGCGTTTTTGGTTTATCAAAAATTGACTTTGGATAGATACCAAGTAGGCATAAGTAATATTTTAAAACTTGAATAGTTGAACTCCTCTCACAGGTAGTGTTATCGCGTTCAACAAGCCAAAACCATTTTTGTCTGCGCAATCACTTTATACACTCACATTTCGATCGTGTTCTCCGGAAGGTGGTCCGGTACCTTGGTCAGTCCCTTCTCCCTACAGTCGACGATACCGTCCGCGCAGCGACACGGATGCGGACACTGCGGTTCGCTGACGCACTCGCCGTCGATCGCCTGTTCAGCGAGGCCCGAACACTTGAACTCGTGCTCTTGCAGGTCGACCAGACTTTGGCCTTTGAGGTGGCCCGGCGAGTGACACCTGGTGTACTGCGCTAGGCGCGGCGAGTGACGCAGATAGCGCGCGAGCCACGCCAGCTGACAGTCGCAGTGCAGCAGGTTGTCTGCCAGGCGCAGCGTGCGCAGTCGGAACGCGGCTGCGAACACTTCCTTGCTCAGCCACGTGAGGTTGTTGTTGTTGAGGGTCCTGCATGTTGTGGAGTGAAAATTCGCACCCCCTGTCCCGTAGCGTTAATACTTACAGCACCTCCAGGTCTTTGGCACCTTTTAGGGCACTGGCGTCGACGCACGTGATCCGGTTATTGTCCAGTTGCCTAAATAAGAATATCCGTCACATATATGGAGTGGTTTGCGTTGTAGTGAAAAGTTCTGTAGAAATGATAACGGGACTTTTCAAATTTAGGTAAGATATCACCGTTCCCACCAACCCTTTTAGCAGCTGTTTAATGTAACTGGCGAAACTACTAAAGTTTTCCCTGAATCACTCTAGTTTATCGGAGAACACCTTATCATATTTACTATGGTTCGAATTTAGTTCAGGTTAATAAGGTACAAAAATGAATATAAAGAAGAAAAAGCGTGAAAATTTCGTACCATAACCAAAATTGACCAATAATTATGATTTGCTTTTTACTGGTTTGTACTGGTTTCTGGTTTGCCGAGTGCTCTGCTACATTCATGATACATGGGAAAATCTCTACCTGGTAAATTTAAAATTATTCCGCTCACCCGGTTGTGAAACAGCTTTAAGAACGCGTGGTTCCGAACTCGCATGCAGTTAGTTGAAAAGAGTGGCTGGAACGCAAATCTAACAAATCGATAGGATATAAATAGCCTCGTTATATAAATTAGTACTCCTGTGTATAGTGAGTGAATAGTAGTGTGAAAATAGTTGATGACCGACTTTCGAGGCGCCAAAATTTATATTCGGCAAGTCCTACACGACAAACATCAGAGGAAATATGCACATCAACGAGGTAGTTATTAAAGTCGACTCCGATGGTTCGAAGAGTAAAAAAGGATTGGGATGTAAAGTATACTCCAAGTCCTGCAAACTTAACATTAGGATGGCTATGAGTACGATGTAGCAGCAAAATAATTCAGCAGGCCCAAAATTACTGGTAAATCTACAGCAGTTCTACTTTATAGACTACGCTTTAAACTAGCACTATAATGTCACTGTACACTCGCTGATGCGTCAGTCGACAGTGTGGTGGCGGAAATCATGCCCCCGGCTCCCTGGCTAGGAAGGCTGCCGCAATAAACTTTATAGAACCGGAGCATTTCATCGGTCCGGCGACGTCAGTCATTAAAGAGCTGATGCTTGGCGAAGTGTGGGAGCGTGGAGTTGCTAGGCGTGATGTAAAACCCATTGGCTCTATCCAGAACGAAGCACAATGGGCCTGCGGAGGCCTAAATGCGTTTGACAAACCAAGTTTTTGTCGGTATTAAAAACGTAATATGTATTTTGTGCTAGGTGAAGACAGAACGAAATAAAGCCTATCTAAGCCGACTGCAGCTTAGATATCTCCGACCCCGTCCCTAAAATTTATTATCATAGTTATTCAAACTTCTGGAGCAGGTTGGTGGGAATGAATTCGAAATTCGAAACTAACCAAAACCACCGTTTATAAAGTTCCCTTTTATCTTTCTTCAAAACCTACTCACAAGTTCTTTAGGCCTGCCGGTCCTCTAAACGTTCTCTTGCCGACGACCGTTAGGTGGTTGTGGCTGAGGTCCCTGCAAAGAAATAGTTGCGGGCGATTTTCGACCGGGAAGTGGCGTCTGCGAAGCCATTTGTTATAATAGCGGAAGCGCTAAGCACTAATTGCATTTTCCGTGGTCGTGAAAGTGCTACATTTTCACGGCCCCCGGGCCGAGCCTCGAGGCACGCCGATCGCCCAATTACCCGAACATGTTAACGTCCGGATTTTGGCCGCCATTTACCATAAATTGCGGACTTTTTTTGTGCGGCTCGGAGCTTAACGAAGTTTTCGGCTAATACTGGCGATCCTGTTGTTGTGTGCAAAACCGGGTCCCGTGTCGGCTGTCTGATTTTAATAATTGAGCCGGGATTTATTGGGGATCGTTAACGGGCGACGGACACGTTTAATTGTTAATTATTTATGTGGCCACGGGCGGCGTTACTTTATTTTGATATTTTAAAATTATAAATGGCAACCTTGAACAGTTCTCCAACACCGTTAGAAAAGCGTGATATGAATAGGGCGGCAGTTAGAGGCAGCGAACTCGATCTAGACTGGGGTGGCAGGGGCATCGATAGAAAAGTGAGGCAAATTTTACAATGGCAAAAAATCACTAGTAATGGGGTTCGTTGTCTTTCCCTTGCTCGTTTTTAAAATGCGAGAATCGGGTGTTCCGGTTGTTTAATTATGCAATATGCATTTAATAAAAATAATTTAACTTCTCAAAAAATGTCCAAAAAGGTGCGTACGAACTTTGATTGAACTGTGATTCGACGAAGACTTACTGGCAGCAGATGCAAACGTACTTATTTTATAAAATCAGAAAAAACGAGCCGTAAATGGTGGACTAGACCAAGTCAAACGTCTTCTCAGTTCATAATAATTGACATTTAACAAATTTTTGTTGTATGAGATTACTGATTTGGAATGGTTACCGTGCAGAATTTCACCTTCAACTCAAACAGAACACACAAACTATAAAGTTGCTCTTGCAACGTCCCCTATTAACACTTCTATTTTTTGACGCGAGATTCACATCTGATGTAGTTATCTTGAACTTACAAACAAGCAATTTCCTTAATTGTCCCAGAAATCTGTGATGCTATTATATCCGTCCTTCAGTGCAAATCTTTTAGCTTTTAAAGTTAACAAAAGCAACTATTTTATTCGGTGCAAAATTTCACCTTTAACTCAACAAGAAGATACGAACTGCTATATCTCCATTGGAACGCCTCCTATTAACTTTTTTATTCAAAAAATGTAATACACTTTGGATTATTGTTAGAAAGATATTACATTACATAATAAAGAATAGTACACTGGCTGTTTGGTGGTCCAGGATATTGCCGTGATATTTGACTATCAGTTGATGCCAGTGTTTGAGGCAAAGATGAAGGCGCATACTCAGGAGAAGTGAATGTCAGAGATAATGAATATGACGATGCTGTAGATATCGGCATATGAACGTGAAGTTGCCCGTTGCATGCATGGGAATGGTTGTAGTTGCCAATGGAAGCTTCCCATAATATATTTTCGATGAGATGTTTTGTGCAAACTTTCTTGTCTTTCCTCTAGTGCCTCTCCTTTTGACTTGCGTACCTCGTTTTTCTTTGATCGAGTTCTGGAAACAAGCAACGTATCCACACTGTTGGGAAACACAAAATTATTCTGTATTCGGTTTGAAGTTTGCCGCTAAATATGGAAACAAGCAACTTATAGGAACTGTTGTTGCTACAACCGTAAAAAATAAGAAACTTCAATAAACTTTTGACAACATTTAGAAACAAGTTCCAGAAACAAGCAACATAAGCATAATGTTCCTATGTGTTGCTTTCAGTGTGGACGTAGCTTAAGTATTTTAAGATGCAAAACTCCTAAACTAATCAATATTTTTTGGTAGATTTTTTGGTTTTCTTTTATAATTTTTGTGAAAACTAAATCAACGGGCAATAGATAAAGTCAAATTAACAACTAATACCTGTCTCGCTTTAAATAAAAGTTGCTTCACAAAATCAATATTGGCTACATTTCTCCGGCACCATTCCAGTTCGATAGATAGAAGAGTTCACTGGTTTGAAGTAGCGAGAGAGTGAGACAGAGTGCGGTAAAGAAGCGACATAGACACACACGTATGCGGACAAGTTACTACTTACAAACGGACCAGATTAGATAAAGTAGCGAACAAGTTGTCCGGCAACTTTGCCACCCGATTTCCGTTCAAGCGTCTACAAAAAAAAAGCGAAACCTGCTCATCAGTTCGAACGTTTCGCCAGGCGCTTGCGCAAAAAACGCTTTTTTCCCGCAAACGTCCCCTTACTTACAGTCGCTCGAGTTTCGTCAAATCCTGGAACGCGTCCTTGGCTATCGTCCGTATGTCGTTGCCGGACATTTGCCTATAATTGAAACGGTTGCGTGACCAACGAAAACCAACGACCCAACGAGGGTACTTACAAAACTCGCAGGTTGCTCAAGCCCTGGAAATCCGTCTCGTAAATGGCCGTCAGGTTGTTGCCCTGCAAATCCCTGAAACAAAATATGTCATGATTATTTTCAGTTTTGGTCATAGTTTTAGGCGATAATGGTAATTGTTTATGGTCCACGTTTATTTCCACAGCTTAACACCAGTTCAATGGACGCTAAAGATTGACTTAAACCATTTAGAAACTGGATTTGTTTTGGGGGTCGCTAATAACCTTGATCTAAAAAGAAGAGAGCCTAGCTTCATTAACTTATCAGCCAACTTATTCCGAGAAAGTTTTTCGGAGTTAATTTTTGAGTGAGTATTCTGAGATCTACAGTGTGCCCAAGATAAGAACGGATAAAGTTGGTTAAATTAAACTATTGATGCAAATTTTAAGGGTTAATAACGTGCTGTTGAGGAAACTAAAAAATTTCGGTAACTTGTAGAGTTCAAAAAGTGCAAACCAAAAAGTGACCTTAATTTGTTTATACCTAACACCAGAAAAAATAAAATAAAACAAATTCGGAAAATTTATTTATTTATTTTTTCAAGGAAACTTAACAACTCTGTAACAACTGTAACAACTCGACTTGCAAGAGTTGTTACAGATCAAAGAGGAGACATAAATCGGAATTTTCAATTTTCGTTTCTTATTGTCTCCTGACTTTATTTGTTAACTTAAAATGAAAAACACATTTCCATCCATACTGGATTTGACGACCATTATCAACTTAATTTTTTAAATACCGGTTCTGATTTTTTTTTCAATTTAAATCTTTTCATCACCCTTAAAACACTATATATCGTCACGTTTCGTACAGAAAATTCCATTACCAGAATATTTTATATTTATTTGACCATAATACGGCCCTGAACTACATGAAATTAAACATAAGATAGAAGTAAAGTCGACACAACAAATAAGTACATAAATAATTTGTGCTATACTATCTTGTGCTCAGATTCTGGTGATGGAATTTTCTGTAGGAAACGTCGGAAAATATTACGATATATAGTGTTTTAAGAATGTTGAAAGCACTTAATTAAACTAAAGAAAGACAGAGCCGTATTTAAAAAAAATAAGTGGCCATGAAAATGTGTTTTTCATTGTAACTTATCTAAACAAATAAAGTCAGGGGACAATAGAAAACAAAATTCAAAATTCCGTTTCTTTTTTCGAATATTTTCGCAAGTATTCGAAATTTATCAAAGTGCAAAGCGGCATTTTATTGAGCATCAAATTGCGCCGATATATTTAAGGGTGTAGTGTATGAGGTTGAAGAAAAAAAGAAATTGATAGCCTTGGTACGTAGACTATGATAGGAATCGCCTGTCGATAGAAATCTTAAGCCCTTGTGTTCTGCAATTATGTCAAAATATACATAGTTTCGGCTGATTTTTCGCAATTAAATTTGGATCTAATTTTCTTTCGTTCGCCCAACCTGTATATGTGGTTGACATGAATTTGTCGTTTCCATTCTGTATTCTAGAACCCGTCTTTGATCCATTCTTCTATCACGTTCAAGCCATTTTTTATTAGAAATACTAAAAGGATGTCGAACTTCCATTGTCTGCATTTTTAACATACACAACGTTTCGGACAGTTGTATCACTACCCGTTATCAAGTGTAAACTAAAGCTTAATTCTAAGGCTACAAGGTTTATATACTAGGCGACGGTGCTCATCCATGACGGAGTCGGGTGTAGTCAAGCGTGATGGCGCTCATCCATGACGGAGTCGAGTGTAGTCAAGCGTGAAGTTGTTCAACTAGAACGCCAGCATTGGTGCGCCTTATTAGAGGTTACCAAATTGTTGGTATATACACGCTTGGATTGCTTGGATTCTCCAATGCTGCTTTGGAGAATCCAAGGATGTTGTGTTGTTTGGTCCACACATGTTCTGCGATACCTGATTTTTGCATTTCACCCTTCATTGTATGTTTTTATGTTCTTCAACTCTTATTTTTAGAGGTCGTTTGGTTTCGCCAATATATGACTCTCCGCAGTCACAGGGTATATTGTAGATACACTCTTTCTCTTGAGTCGACGTTTCAGGTTTTGTTTTTGTGAGTACACTTCTTAATGTTGATCCAGATTTAAATACAGTTTTGACTTGATATTGTTTAGCTATTCGTCTAATCTTTTCTGATATTCCTTTCACGTATGGGATCGTCGATACATGGTTCCGGTGTTGTTTCGCGCTTACAGTTTGTTATTATTTTGTTTATAGATTTTTCGGATTAACCGTTCTGAAGCAAATCCTTTTTAATATTATTCAATTCGGCATCGAGAGATGCTTGGTCGCTACATATTGTGATTGCTCTTTTGCAAAGTGTTTTAATTATTCCTAATTTGGTTGCTTCAGAATGGTTAGACTCAAAATTTAGATACTGTCCTGTGTGGGTAGGTTTCCTATATGCAGACGTGTTAATAGAACTATTATTTCTACTTACTAGGACGTCCAGAAACGGTAGGTAGCCGTTCTTTTCTTTCTCAATAGTAAATTTAATTGATGTTCGCAAAAAATTAAGATGATTGAGAAAAGAGTCTAGCAGTCTATCGGTTCCACTCCAGATAATGAAGGTATCGTCAACATATCAAAGCCAGATCTTAGGTTTAATAGTTGCAGTGTTTATGGCATGGCATTGCAGACAGCACCTCAGAAGCTCCAACACTCCCTCATGTGGCAGCGAAGTTCTCTCTGATAGGGTTGTATCATTCCTTAGTCTAGCATCGGCAATACTTAACGACTCCTCCAAGGGCACGTTGGTATATAGACTTTCAACGTCAAAGCTAATAAATTTGTGTGAAGGATCTAGTTTCACGTTTTTTATTATGAACGTATTATCTGATAGCGACGGTTTCCTTATGGTCTGTACACGCATGAAGCTGTTCGCCGGCCCTCCGCTTACAATTAAAAAATCAATTCAAAACACATCCACGCCATTATGTTCAATTAAATCGAATTGACAGCGTTAATGGATCGAATTAGACGCCCGAGGTGTGGAATTAAGTCGTCCCCGCGTTATTAATTCGATTCGGTCTTTTGTACGACGGCGGCGGGGGGGAGGGGCGGGACAAGGGGAGCCGTGTTTCTGTTTCGGATTATACAGGGCCCTCGCATAAGTACGCGGCAACTAAAAGAACGCAACCCCAATGAAAAATGAAAGAAAAAACTTGAAAAATGCAGTTCGCAAAAAATAAAAAAAGGATCTACCGAATTTAAAAAGTGACGTTATATGTAAGAAAAGGCCATATAAATTTATTTTATAGAAAATAGTATTCGATTCGCAAAAACAAACAAATTATATATTCTTTAGAAAGGAATTATTTTTTAAAACCCATAAATCTGTATTTAACTTAAACAATACTTGTAAGATTTTAGAAAACACACTTATTTCAAGCAAACAAGCATTTATTGCCTGGGCATTAAAAAGGGTGTAAGTATTTATTTGATACGAACAATTTCGGTATAAACAATTGAAATACATTTTTCTAAAATTAAATTAAATATATACTAAATATTTTAGACCTTTAATTCTCGCGATTTGATACTTCATCTAAAACTTGGAAACCCTGGTAGGAAAAAAAAATATGCCAGTTGTTCCAATTTTTACAAGCGGGTTCGCGTCATGAAAAACGTGCAACGTCCTGTATATTGTAACTGCTCGTATTTTCACGAATCAGAGCGCCGCCCGTACCGTTAAAAAAGCCTTTGTAAATATTATGCTTTGTTCGTGGCAATTCTCGCCCCCGGGTTTTATTGGATTTTTCGGGAGCGGCAAATATCGCGCATATTAATATTTCGTTCGCGCGGCGTTTGTCGCATTTTCCGCCTTTTTCCCATTTTCAAACGCGCGCTCGCTTTATATTCATAACTTCTTAAAACTAATTCGGCGTCTTTTCTACGGGTCGCGCGACGGCGACGACGCCGTAGGGGGCAAAAAGCCGTAGAGGAATTGAAGGAGAGAACGCGCGGGGCTTCGGAAGCGTTTGCCCGGAAATATTAGGTCCTTGCCGCGTATTACGAGGCAAATTAAATTATGAAATATTAAGGGAGACCCGTCGAACGCGACCCAGACAATACCCTATACGAGAGAGCTTTTGTATTAGTTTTCGGCGACCGATTTTCAAAAAGCCCTCTCGCGCCTTTGTCACGATTCCGCAATTTTAAAATATTTATTTTAAATCTATATTTATTATTCGTCAAGCAGCATGTAAAGTACAGAAATTGCGATTTTACAACACGACACAAAAAATATCGCACCTCTTAAATCACATAGTTTTAAAATTTTTGTTTTTGCATCGTAGTATTTTTTTTATGTAATAATTTATGCGTTGTGGGAAAATTTTGAAATGTAATAAGCAAGGAGTTGAAACAAAACTTTAATGCAATTAACATACAAACTAAACCACAGTTCCTTTCAATATTGGAAAAAGTATTATTTGAAATTGGTCTATGGTTCTAAAGGGTCTTCTATATTGTTGAATCTGCCATTCCATATGGTTCCAGACATGCGCCATCGGATTTAAGTCAGGATTTCTTGCTAGCGAGTTCATGCAGATATTCAGTAACTATTCTGGCTGCGTGAGGCCGTGCGATATCGTGCATAAAAATGGAATTGCCCCTATATAACGCCCAAAAGGGAGCGACTGTGTGAGGTTCAACAATCTCTCTTAGCGGTTAACCTGCCCTCGTTTCCAGCCACCAATTTTCGTCCGTTATAAGGTTTGCCTCCCGAGACCATAGTTCAGTCTCCACCAAAATTTTCCCTCTCATCAGTGCCTTGGGTCCTACTCAACAGAAACAACTGCCCCAATGGCCTTGTCAACAGTTAAAAAACGTGTAAGACGATTTGGAAGTTCCATAACCTTACACTTTTTAAATTTACTTAAATTGTAGACACTTGTTGTTCTGATATGTGAAACTGAAATATGGACAGTATTTAACATTTTTTTACATAAACAAACAAATCGATTCTCGTTATTCCATGTCGACTATTTATTGTCTACAAATATTTTTTTGCATACCTAATAAAAAATAAAAACCTTGCATGGGTAC